CTAGTAGCAACAGCCATTGGTTGAGGCCTACAGTCTGGTTTAGCTGCTAGCCTAGGCTCACTGTCTGGTTTAGCTGCTGGCTTTGAGCCGGGGGTGTTGGCTGCAGCCTGAGTGACTGGGATAGCTGCTGATTTATCTCCCTGCCCCCCTTCCTCGGTCTGCTGCCCTACAGTATCTGGCAGGGTGCGATAAGCATATGCCAGGGCCCAGCTCACTGCAATGATCTTTTTCTCCTTAGAGTTATCATGGCACTTCTCTTTCAGGTACTTCGCCACCTCAGGTGAGGATTCTGAATTTGTTCACATGGGAAGTCCCAGGCTATAGGGTCAGAAAATTCCTTTCAGATTTGGCCCATATCCTCCCATTTCCCACACCACTCAGGATTTCTCACACCTGGGTCTACTCCTGGGTCACAGGTCTCATCAGCCCCTCTAGAAATCTCAGCCCTCATTCTAGAGAGACTGCAGACTGTATAGAGAAAGTTTACCAGATTAAACACCAGGAAGATGGTTCTTTAATGGTCAGGGGAAATGGAACATTCTCTAATAGGGAGGTAAGAGTTTCAGAGGAGAAGAAGGAAAGCAAAGGCTGAAAAGCCTCATCCCCTGCTTCCCCTCTAACAAACTGGCTGCACAACCATGACAATGAGCCATGCATTCCTGGAACAGACTTCAGCATCTTTATAAACCCCCTGGAAGCCATTACACCCAAGCCCAGCCCGATGGATATTCTAGTCAGTGCCCTTCTACTGCAAAAACTATGTATTAGGGACAATACCAGAGCTATTCCTGAATAAGAAAATAAACCTTAGACCATAGAGGGATTAAGATCTCAAAAAACCATAGGGACCAGAAACACATGCAGGCCTCCACCCCAAGAGACACTATGAATTCAAACAACATAGCCAGTAACTGCTCCATAGCAACACAAAGTAATTGGAACCAAAATATGATTAGAACAGGGTTTTTTCCACTCTCTCGAGCCACGAGATGGGCAGCAAAATATTTGTCCTAGT